GGGTTACTGCTGTAGCGCGCATCGAGAGAAACAGAAATGTACTCCCCTTTCGTTAGTACCGGTGGGCAAAGTGAGAGAGAAGGTTTCATTTTTATAGAGTGAAATTTTGAATAAGTAGGTGAGGCGGTTGTCTTGTCAACGAAAACCCGTTGCGTCTGAGGCTGAAACCAAAACACTGGTCGGACCTAGGAAGGCAGGGAGAGTTAAGGCAGAGGCATAGAAATTGCTCTTCCCCTCTCTCGTCAATCCATGTCTATGGTCTTTAAGATAACTTGTTATGTAAAATTATTTATTTATCTAAGATGCACCTACACTGAATTTATCTGAACAATAAAAAAGTCGATATTAAGAAAAAAATTGTAAATGGAAGATTATAAGAGAGGGTGTCGCGTGCCAGCAAAAGTTACTGGCGTGCCATGTTTGGCACGCGTGCCAGGGGTTGCCCACCCCTGCCTTAGAGCGAGAAGAGGAGAGATTAACAGATAAGAGGAGAAGCCATGTGAAAACAAAGGTAGAGATTGGCGTGATGCAGCCACAAGCCTGGAGCCAAGAGCTGGTAAAGGCAGAAGGACCCGCCCTAGAGCCTTCAGGGGGAGCATGGCTCTGCAGACCCTGATTGCAAACTCCTGGCCTCCAGAACTGTGAGAGAACACACTTCTGTTATTTTAAAGCCATCCAGTTTTTGGAAATTTGTTACAGCTGCCAAATGAAACTAAAATACAGGCGTGTCTCATTTTATTGCATTTCACAGATACTGCATTTTTACAGAATGAAGGCAAGACCCTTTTGCAGCGGAAAAAAATTATACAGCTTGCTGAAGGCTCAGATGATCGTACGTTTTAGCAATAAAGTATGTACTTTCTTTTACACATAATTCCATGGCACTCTTAATACTCTACAGTATGGTACAAACATACATTTCATACGCACTGGGAACTGAAAAGATTTGCGTGACTTGCCTTAACGCAGTCGTCTGGAACGGAACCTGCACTATCTTCGAGGTATGTCTGTGGTGACGCGGGGGCTTGGTTCTTGAGCGGGCGCTTGCCTGGAAGAACACAGAGCCAGGCACGGACCCTCCAGCCTGTGTGGGCAGGATGGCGCCACAAGAACGCTCTCAGCCGGAAAGGACCCAGGGAGGAAGGCTTATGGGAACACGGACGTGAAAGCTGGGATTGGAGAGAGAAGTGGGGGTGTGCCAGCAGGGGCCCCTTTCCAGACTCGCCCAGGCATACCTGAACCCACCGCTGGCGGAAGCCGAGACATCGTTGCCCAGTCGCCTACAATAATGGCGATTATTCTAAAATATTGAGGCTGTAGCTCTAATCAAGCCTCACTGTTCAGTGCTGCCCTATCAGGGGGAACACTGAGAAACTGTTTGGAAATGGAGTCGTTCATTTTAAGTCCCACCAAGACTTATTACCGAACCTAATTATAGTTTCAGGCTCTCCCAGGAGTGGAATTTTAAACCCATCAGCCTGGAATTTCCTGGTCAGCACTAGGGAGGTCTTCCGCCTGATGAGACCCCCTGCCTTCCCCTTGGGGAAGGTGACCTTGCCCGAAAATCATCTACTCTTTTAACTTTCTCATCCCTCCCCATTTCTGCCTGGAAAAGCCTCCCATTAAATACAGTTTCCCGGAGCACTTTTCTATCTACTAGATGGGATTTTGCCCGATTCATAACTCGTTCAATAAAGCCAAGTAGACCTCTACATTTACTTGGTTGGATTAAAATTTTTTCTTAAAAATTAATTTTTAGAGAGAGAGGAAAAGGGGGAGAGAAAGAGAGAGAGAGAGAAGAGAAATAGAGAGAGAGATTGATTTGTTGTTCCACTTATTTATGAGTTCATTAATTGTTTCTTACTAGTGTATGTGCCCTGACGGGATCGAACCCAAACCTTGATGTATCAGGACAACGCTCGAACCAATCAGCTACCTGGCCAGGGCTGAATTTTTGTTCTTAACGGCAATAGAACAGCAGTTTTTGTCCCTCAAATTTGTAGATTTTGAAATAATTTGCTTTTGGGACTCTTCCAGATCTCCTGCCATGAATGTGTTTGTCTCAAGTCATGAGAAACACACATTAAAAGTGGGTTTTTGTGTGTTGTGTGCATTTAATGAGGGTGATATAGCCAAGTGGTGAAGGAAAATTCTGGGAGGTTTGGGGCTGAGCCAGGTGGAGGGAATGGCCTGACCCCTGGCCTCGGGCTCTGTTTACCTCCACCCTGGGTCAGCCGCCAGGAAGAATGCAGAGTCCTGGCCCGCTGAGCTCACTGCTGGCTGGCCGCCTGCAGCCTGCCTCCCCGCCCCCCCAACCCCAACACACACACACACACACACACACACACACACACACACACACCCACCTCCCCCGCCGGCCACCA